AAATATAGTACTATCAAGTAACTTTGTTACTTTCAGTTGTTCTGAAAACGCTGTATATCGATCGGCCTCTTCCACTGTAAGAACCTCCTACCATTTCCGACATTCCCACTTCAACATATTTCGTAGGACCATTGTAGTTTGTTGTAAAAAAGAAAAAAAAAAGGAGCAACAATATATTATATTGGTTTTGGAAAATGGCCGACTAATTTTGTCAAAATCCCAGCTAAATTCATAAATATATGGATATATTTTTACACAAATGCTGTCAGAATGTATCGTTCTGTTTGGGAAGCAGATGGCAACATGTAGCGTGCAGCAAAATAACACGCGATACACGTGGATTTTATTTTGAAATCAGAAGTTTCAAAAAGACGACAGCGATGCAGCTACAGCTGTTTGGAGTCGATCTTCCACAGAATTAATTATTTTGTTCTGACTTCCACATTGATCACTGGATTTATCGCGTGATCTCACATTTCCTGCCCTCAGACCTCCTCTGTGCTTCACAGCGAAGCGGATCTGCATCTAGTGTAAATTAGGGGTAAGCGTGTAGGCAGCTCCACATGACCACAGGAGATCCAAGGATTTCTCAAACACGCATGAATGAGTCAAATTAACAGTCTGGGTGTGTTTTTGATGAGAGGATGACATTATAACATCATATAAATCTCAAAGTTGCTTTTGCATAATCCCGCCTCCCCCTTTAAATTGTTAACGTGTTCCAGCTTGATTTTGCTGCATCATCTTATGTCTCATAGGTTCTTTCTTGCATCCTGGATCCCCTCCTCCAGTTGTGCACTGTGTCAGCCAGTAACCTCGGCACCGCTGACATGGCTACCTACATGGTCAACTCACTGTACGTCATGAAGACCACCCTGGCTCTGTTCGAGTTCACCGACAAGAGGCTTGAGATGTTGGAGTTCCAGGTACAACCTCAGCTCTGATAAAGTCGGCACCTGGTGTAAAATGGAAATAAAATCAGAATTTATTGCAACATTTTATGCAACGTAAAAATTCCAACTTTTTCAAAATTGGGTTTGCTTTTATACACTTTGTCTTTTTTATGTGTCTGTCTTCATCAGAGGCTTATAGTAACTAAGTACTTTTACTTTGTTACAGTACTTAAAGGGATCCATGATTAGTTGTAACATTAAACTTTATTTAATAAACATTTATTTTAACTGTAAAATAAAGACTGTAAAAATACTGTAGGCTGTTCAGTTTTTATTATTTTTAAACTAAATTTTTTTAAAAATATTACACGGACGGGGCCATTTTATTTACATATAAAGCATTCTGGGTAAATGATGACGTGGATAGGTCATCAGTGCGAGGCTGCTAGCGAGCTATATCCACCCTGAAGGTAAATCTTGGACAATATCTGATGATCGACTCTTTTAAATGAAACCAGAGAGCGTT